TCTTTTTTGGGGGGAGTCAGCAAACCTGCAGCAACAGCTGGTTTAAGTTCCTTAGTTCAGCTTCAGGAGTCTTTCAGACCCAGACCAGTGACAGAATAGATATAATGTAAGGCAGTTTTTGAAAATTCAGTTTGTTAGCAGGTATAGTGTCAAACTATTAGAAGGTGGAGGCAGGAGGCTCACAAGTTTGAGCCTAACTTGGGCAATTTACCGATTTAAGGAGTCCTGTCTCAAAATAATAAAAATTAAAAGGGCTGTAGATATACCCAGTGCAGAAGTTCTGAGCTCAATCCCCCCATACCACAAATAAATAGTAAATAAATAAATTTCAGTTTGTCATTAAGCTCTTTTTCTTTTTGACCTGTCATTGATTAGGAAAACGCTGGCCTTTGTTTTGTTTGTTTGGGGTGTTTTTGTTTGTTTGTTTGTTTTTTTGAGACAGGTTCTCCTTATGTAATTTAGGCTGGCCTTGAACACTACTTGGTAAATTCTCTTGCCTCAACCTCCCCAGTATTGGGATCACAGGCAGGTGCCATCATGCCTGGCTGAAAAACGCTAACTTTTAAAACAGTTGAAAATAAGCAGAGCTTGAAAAACCCAAATGTTTACCATCTGTATGCCACCCACAAGGCCTAAACGTAATAAAGCAATTTGACGTAAGTTTTACAAATGAAATTTAAAATATAATGCAAATATTGTGTATGTATATGTAAAAATAAATGTTTAATAAAAATGGCTTAATCCTTTTGCCCATGACTTTTAACTAGTAAAATTAACCAATTTATTGATAGAAAGGACTTAATAAAAATGATTCAATTCATGTACCTATGACTTAGCTAAGAGATAAGGCATTTGGGGAGAAAAATAGGCAGTTTTGATGACTATTTGGAAGATACAAAGAAAAATTTTGGGTAACAAGGAAGGATGATGCCATATATCATGAAGATGTTTAAGACTAGAAATAATCCAAAGGTTGGATGTGTGTAGAGGCCTGTAATGTATGCATTTTAGGAAAAATGTGTAGTCTAATAGGTTCATTAAAAATGCAACCAAAATCTAACATGTGAATTAGCAATGTTAAAACTAAGTGCACTCTAAGATTGAACAAATAAATATATTGCATTTACTCAAAGTTAAATTTTTTAGACTAGAAAAGGGAGCTACAAATAAAGGGGAAGCTATAATAATCCTTGGATTGCAAATGGAATTATCAGGGTGAGTGAGTGTCAATGAATGGATAGAGTGCATGTATGTGTATTATGTATTACATCAATACTAATATATAGATATATTATAATCTGTAAGGTAATGTGTGTGTGTGTGTGTGTGTGTGTGTGTGGCCTAGAAGCAATAAAATCATAGCACCCATGAATACACCTGGTACCCAGTTTCTAGGCACCAGTAAAAGGAACCAGGACTTCAAGAAATAGCTGATTCCAGGATTGGGGCTAGGGAAATGCAGGATGAAAGTGTGCCAGAAAGAATGGAAATATTTTTGATAAATGTTGGGTGTGTAGCTCAGTAGTAGAGTATATGCTTAGTATGTACTACGCCCTGGTGTCAGTCTTTCCTGTGCATGTGTGTACACACACACACACACACACACACACACAAAACCAGTATAGGAGTCAACTGTCATTCTTTGCCCAGTTTTGGGGGTAAAACCCAAGCCCTCATATATGCTAGGCAGGTGCTCTACCACTGAGCTATGTATACCCTCAATCCCAGGAGTTTACTTTAAGGACTTCTACATTGGCCAATGAGGGACATATTTGAGCATAGTGAACTATTTTCCACAGAATAAAAAGGAATGTTTTGATATAACTATGTAAATAAATGAGAGAAAGAAAAGCTCTTTCTTGCTATAGAATTCTAATGTAGAAAGAATGATCAAAAAAGGAAATCATCATTTGAAAAATAATACAGTAATAATTGTTTTCAGGCAGGAATCATTAGTGGCCAATATAGTGTAGTTATAAATTATGTATAGTTACAAAGTAAATGATATTTGCATAGTCACAAAGTATGTCACTAAAAGGAGCACATTACAGTTGTCCACTCTTAGACACAGGAGAAATATTCCAAGACCCTCAGAAGATGCCTGTACCATAAATAATGTGGAATCCTGCATAAACTGTTTTTCCTATATATAACATATCTCTAATAAAGTTTAATTTATAAGTTAGGCATATTGAGAGATTAATAGCCATAAGAATATAACAATATACTATCAAAACAGTTATGTGAATATGGTCTCAAAGTATTTTGTTGTATTATACTCACCCTTGTGATGTGAGGTGATATAGTGCCAATTTGAGGAGATAACATAGGCATGGAAATATAGCAGTAGGTTGGTATATAAACCAGCTTGAAAACAAGCACTACAGTACCACAACAGTTGATCTGAGGTTATAAGGCTTCCAAATGACTGGTGGACACGAATATGGTGGACCAACTCATGTCCTGAGAGGGACTGAGTGAGAAGACGTGAGCTTTCATCATGCTATTCAGAATGGTGTGCAATTATAAAATTTTAATTACTTATTTCTGGAAATTTCTGTTTAATATTTTCAGACTACAGTTGACAGCGGGTAACCAAAACCATGGACATTGAGACCTTGTAAGGGCACTGTAGTAATTACAGAGGGAATCATAGTAATCTTAGTGTGGAGAAGGCAGACATCTTATTAAACAACTGATGAAAATGCCAGTAATGGATAAAAATGGATACTTTGTACTTTCTGGTATGATGTACTGAGAAGGACACAGCATCACTTTATGGCATTCTTGACAAAAATGCATGCCCTGAATTTAATTATAGAAAATATTAGAAAAACCCAGATTGAGGGCCATGTTACAGATTAACTGCTGAGTATTTTTTTTTAACATTTATATACAATTGAAGTTTTATTGACCTCCCAGTTTTTAAAATAGTTAAATTTAAGGTCATACCTACCTCTCTGAAGTTTGATATACACAGATCGTGCAGAATGTGAGTATGAAGAGATACAAATTAGTCCATGTCCAAAAAGATTACTAGAATACAGAATCTTCTTCATAAATATATAAAAAATTCTTTTGAAGGTAAAGAGGACTCTGGCTGTTCTGGGACACTTTCCAAATTGATTGAAGGCACGATATATACACCCCAAAGTGAATACACGCATTCTAGGTTCTGTGCCTCTGACATAGCCCATCAGAGATCAGGCTTCACAACTGATACAGCTAAATGTATTCAGTGAGATTCTGCCTCTTGGGTGAAAAAGCACAGACCTATAAACATCATATAAATAATTTCTCCAAAATACAAGCAAACAAAAAAGACTAGTGTAAATCCAAAAGGTTTAAATGCTTCCATTTTGAATAATTCAATTCAGAATCTATACAAGTTTGTTCCCAGAAACTAACACATCACTTGTCTCTGTGAAGAAAAATTCTAAAAATTAACATGGTTTTTCAGTATTTCAAATCCCACTATTATATAAAAACCTAGAGAGACCCCCTCATATCCAACAGCTTTAAAAGATAAGCCAAAAGACTGTTTGCTGTAATCAATGTTACCAGTGTTAGCCAGGCCTGTTTAATATACACACAGGGGAAATACACCCACACTATAATTTCTTATAAAATAACAAGTAAGGAGTAGATGTAGGAGACGTAGAAGGGGAAAGAGAATTCAAGAAGTCGTTTTCCTCAGTAACTTTCACTTCAGAATCATCGAAAAGCAGCCACTTTCCCTCATACTCCTTTAAACTCTGCACTACATAGGAAATTTTGTTCTCAAATCACTCATGTAAATACCTGTTTGGTCGCTGGATTCCTTGTTTCTATCCACTTTGCGGATCCCATTTAGTACTGTTAGTCTCAGAACTTCTACTTTCAGCAAATGCTGTACTGGCTGGCAGCCTTGTCAGGATCAGATGCTTTGTTGTAGAGCTCATAATATGCTTTGCTCTTTTGTCCTCCAAGAAGTCCAATAGCTTCTACATTTTTTTTTTGTTGAAAACTTTACTTGGCTGTGTATTTTCCCCAACTCTCATGGACACTTCTTCATTGTCATAATTTTCAGCTGCACCCCTTGCTTCCTTCTCATTCAGTGGATCTGCTTTACCCACTTCACACGTCTGGTCAACCACAAAATTCTCCTTGTCCAGTTCTAAGCTGTTGAGATCGGTGACTTTAACAGAAGCAGCATAATGCCCACTGCTAATTGTAATGCCACTGTGCATTACAACTGCAAATAAGCCGCAGCTGTCATTGGTTGGCCTTGTGCTCCATTCTTCTAGTGACAACTTAAGAGGTGTCAGTAAGGGAGTGTTGATCTTGGAAAGTCTGCTGCCTTAAGAAACTCCAAGCTGCTAGCAGCAAAGCAATTCAAATGAATGGTTATAACTTCAGGCATTTTGTCAAACAGAAAACTTTGTTCAGCTTCAGTGTAATGACGACAATTTTCACAGAAATATTTATCTTCTCCAGCAATCCTCTCCACCGAAGCAAACTGTGAAATTGCCCATCTCAGGGTCTTCATTTCTGTTTTTGGCTGGAGAAATTTCAGAATTCTCCTCTACTTTGGAAATCTCATCTTCTTGTACTGATACACTGATGTCCAGGAAATCTCTTTCTGTTAAACTTTCACATTCCAAGCAAGGAGCCCTTAATACCAGCTGACCTTGAAATAATTTTTCCACTAGTTCAAAACCAGTTTGCTCTGCATTTGAGTGTGTTAAGCAGTCATCTCGGCTGAGTAGCAAGCTCTTCGGTGTATTTCTCTGGATTTAGGAAGAAACTAGCTTGAAACTGTTCCACTGAAATGGTTGAGGACTATAAACTGCATATAAGTTCATAACTTGCCAAAGAATCTTCTTTGCATTTTGCCTTGTCTTTCTGATTGGCTTCATCCTTTAGCACCTCTTTCTTCTTTGAAATCATATTAAATAAGTGCTTCACTCCAGATTTAAAACCAGGACAAAAAAATAAACAAATAAAACCAGATCAAAAATATAATACCTGAAGTATACTATTAAGATAACAAGTATTGCCAAGATTATTCAGTCCCACAAACGGCAGCAAGTTTTCTCTCTTCTCACAGTTTATAGGTGAGGACTGTGCTTTGGGAACAACCTGGTCAATTTCTGGTCCTCCGTATTCACAAGCTTTTTCTTCGTTTTCTTGAGAGTGTAAAATCTAAGGCTCGCATAGTTTCCTTTTTCTGGAAAAACTTCAAAGTCTGTTTTTCTTAGATGGACTACCCCTTGAGAGTCCGTTACTTTCACTAGATATGAAACCAGGCATTTTCTTTCCAAGTCCCAAGGCGCTGACAGGAATTTATAGAGGGCAATTGTATCAGCAATTTTATCCACTCCCAGCCTGGCCTGCCAGGCAGGCAGCCACGGAGCCTGGTCTCCCCGGCCGGTGCTTACCTCCCTCATATCCTGGGCGCCTCGTGGTTCCGCTCCACTGCTGAGTATTCTTAAGAGTGTCAAGGTTCTGAAAAATGAATTGAGGAAGCATGCCAGATTAAAGGAAACCAAGACTTGATAAGGAAGTGTGATGTGGGATTTTGAGTGGAACTCTAAGCCAAAAGACATTAGTAGGACAATTTTTAAAAAGCTTAAATAAGGTCTGTAGATTAGTTAATAGAATAATATCAGTGTTAATTTCCTATAATAGTTGTGCTGGTTATATATGATGTTGACGTTTGAGGAAGCTGGGTGAAGAGCATATGGGAATTCTTTGTTAGAACACTTTATACTGAACCGATGTGTAGGTTTTTAGAAGTATGAAATTATTTTAGAATTTAAAATTACAAAAACTCCAAGTCTCTGATTTAGATGTTTTCTTCAGTTTAATGAGGGAGAGGATGATAGAGTTGGTTTGGTTAAGTTTGACTATAATTATTTTATTTTTTAGTTATAATTACAATCCCTGAATATTTACCCCTTTGAGATTCTTTCAGTTTTTCCCCTTGTCTTAAATATGAAGCAAATGTATTTTTAGTATTAACGGCATGTATCTTTAAAATACATTTTTTTGGGGGTACCAGGTATTGAACTCAGGTCCTTGTGCTTGCGAGGCAGGTGGCAGAACCACTGAGCTACATTCTTTTTTGGACCAGGGATTTGGCTCAGTGGTTCCGCTGCCTGCCTCACAAGTGCAAGGGCCCAGAGTTCGATCCCTGATACCCAAAACACAAACAACAAAAAATCTTTCTTTGGGGGGTACCGGGGAATGGAACTCGGGCCTTGTACTTGTCAGGCAGGTGGCGGAACCACTGAGCTAAATCCCCAGCTCTAAAACACATTCTTAATTGTGCTTCCTGAAGTGGTTTAATTTTAACCTGATTTAAAATGATAAACAACTCAAGGTGATTATGTTGTTTTGTTTGTTTTTAATTTTTAGTGAAAACACTGAAATAAAGAAATTAAGATGAAAAGCGGGAAACATTTAAAATCTCTAAATATTTGATAACACTGTGAATTTTCAGTTCCACATGGATAAGTTTAAAGTTTTGAACCTGTTTGTCAGGACCAAGTAGTTAACATATATTGGTAGTGACTTTAGACTAGGTCTCTCAGGCTCCAGATTTTCCCCTGCTACTCACATGCTGAATTTTGAAAATCCATTTCTCCTTAAAATGTTTTACTTTTGTCTGGTAATCAGGTTTTCAGAATGCACAATTGTTGATGTTTATTTACAGTTTTTAAAAACTAAAATATAAAGTTTAAGCTGGTGTTGGGCAAGTGAAGTAAAATAATTGTGTCTCCTGTTTACCATATTTTCTTCTTGTGAACTAATTGTTAATACCTGTCATGCTTTTTAAAAAGCTATGGGGCTAGGGATTTAGCTCTGTGGTTTTGCTGCCTGCCTTGCAAGTGCAGTTCAATCCTTGGTACCAAAAAAAAAAAAAACTATGAAATCTGAATAGCTGACAATTATAAAAGTAATTACAGGTTGCCATTATGTACCCTCCCTCTTTTTTTTTTTTTTTTTTTTTTTTTTATCAGGGATCATACTTGGGTCCTTGCACTTGGGAGGCAGGCAGTGGAACCACTGAGCTAAATCCCAGGCCAGGTTGCCATTATGAAGCACACAGTCACACCTGGTCCTTCTTAAAATAAAAATATATTTATGCTAAAATACATGTTTTATCAAGTTAAACAAAAAACTTCTAAAAAGACCAATAACAAATAATGTGTTTTTGAGAGAAAGATGCTGGTTGGGTACATGGTAGTAATTGTTTTAAAAAAATAGAAGGAAATCTCTTGCTGGCTGTAGAAACCCTTATTGGCGTGCATTGGAAATAACTTTCCACCAGACATGGTGGCGCACGCCTGTAATCCCAGCACTTGGGAGGCTGAGGTAGGTGGATCCTGTGAGTTTGATACCAGCCTGGGCTACATAGTGAGTTCCAGGTCAGTCTCAAACTACATAGTGAGAGATCCTGTCTCAAAAAAAAAAAAGAAAGTAACTTTCCTTTTGTAGCCTGTAAATAAGTTTAAAAAAATAAAGAAGATTGAGTGGTAGGAGCAATGAATGTGTTTGTTAATCCTCTTTAATTACTGAGAGCCAGAAACATGTGAAAGGTTAGTTATGTTAAGTACAGTCTTTAGGACAGATGTATGAACCATTTCCTTTCCTTCTATCCAGGCCTTGCAGTTTCCCCTTTCTATTCTCTTTCCTCATTTCCTATATTTCTATTTGTATCCCTTTTTCTTTCACTGACACCCCCATACACACATGCACATGCACGCACGCACACACACACACACACACACAATGGAAATGAAGAATGAAGTATCAACACTAGGAGGGAGAGTTTTAACTTCCTTAAAAATCTGCCTGACTATACAGTTGACTAGATAAGATTATCTTTACCCACCTACATGATGAATGTTACTTTTGAGACTATTTCCAAAAAGTGTGTGCTCACAGAGGCAGAGGCCTTCTATTGTAAGGTTGTAAGTCTTTCCAATAGCCTAAAATTCCATTTTCCATCTGACTAAAGCATTAAATATTGGAAGTAGGGCTATAGAACTACAGACCATAACTGGATAAGAGTCTGATCTTTTTGGTGGTGATATTAGTTGATGCCTTTTATAGAACACTTTTTATGTTCCAGTTACTACTTTTAAGTGATTGATGCCTGTGAACTCATTTAATGTTTATAGTCTTAGGTACTAACCTTATCCACATTTTATGAATGAGTAAACTAAAGCATACTAGGTAATTTACTCAAAGCGCGTCTCACTGTTGAGATTTTTATTGGGAGTTATTGTAGGTTTTATTTTGGACTTTCATACTCTGGTGGTTTAGCTACAATATGTACTTTTCTATATTATGCATTTGCTTTAGATCTTCAAGACCATAAGCTAAACATTTAAGCATAGGTACTCATGCATTACTTTAGATCTTAAAGAGCATAAGCTAAACATTTAACCATAGGTACCTTATACCTTAGGTATGAGGTCTTCATTTAAGTGTCTTATTGATTGGTTGGTTGGTTGGTTTGTGATAAGGTCTTGCTATGTAGTTTAGCTTAGTTTTGAACTCACTAGCATCCTCCATCAGGGTCCTGAGTGCAGCATGATGTACCACCATGCCTGGCCCATTTTTAAACATCTTAACCAGTGGACAGCTGTGACAGAAATTGAAGGTAGCATCTTAACACTGTGTCTCTCTCAGCCACTCTTCTTTATGTGCTGAATTATAAAGTGCAGTCTTTTCCCTTTTCCTTTCCTTTCACTTTTTCCTTCCTTATTTTTTAAATGTCCTAATGATTTTAATAGTGTAGTCATTGATCAAAGTATTTGCATAGACATATGATCAATTTTTCCTCTTTATAAAAATTCTATTTTATCCTAATTCTCAAAGGAATTAATAAGATGATGTAAATATTATGAGGACACTAATACCTGAATCACAAAAGACTTTAAAAACCAAACAGCTATGTATATGTAGTTCAGTATAACAAATCTAATAATAGTAGTGGATGCAAAAAAGAACAAACATTTGTTGACTTCTGCCTAAACCTTAGGTGTTTTATATGGTTTATTGTTGACAGTAGAAATTTTGAATTTGAAACAAGTTTGGTTATGTTAGGAGGGGAGGAAGGGTGTTGAGAGAAACACTTTTTATGTTAGGAATTAAGGGGTTGTATTGTAATGTTACATTTTGTGTACCGAATACGTAAGTGGACAGTAAGTAAACATTTGATGAATGAAAGAAAATGTGAGAAAAGTTTTTTAAGAACAAGATGATGATTAAGATTGTGAGGAAAGAAATGTTGCATATGTAATGTATTACACTGCTTTGAATTCAGCTGTAGACTCCCCCAGTACCTGGCAAGTTTGCTTTTTTTTTTTGGTACCAGGAATCCAACTCAGGACCTTGCGCTCCCAAGTTTGCCGTCTTAAATGATGCAAACCACATCTTCATGAGATCCTTATAGGGAAGGAAAGAAGTTCTGCCCTTGAACAGGCGATTGTCCATACAGCTGTACTTGGTACAGGTCCAGTTCTATCTCTTAAGGATTAACTAACTAAATGACTTTGAATTTGAAGATCACCTGGCTAAAAGTTCACTTAGAATTGCACCTGAACTTGATAAACTGAGTATAACTGTAGTCATAGCAAAGAGAAAATTAAATACTATACTCTGGGAGCAGTTAGGCTCATACAATCTTGGTGACTGTGCGTTGTTCCTTTTCTGAACAGCTGATATTAAACCCTTATTGGTCATTACAATTTAGTACAGATTAATGATAGTATTTTACAGAGTGTAGCGGTTCTCAATATAATGAATTAATACAATATTGTTTTGTGTTTGTTATTTTGTTTTGTGCTGCTGTAAATGGCTTAAAACAATGTGATTAAACATTCCTTAAAGCTTCAATTGCAATAAAAACTACAAAATTTAAAGTATTATATCCCTAAAAAGGTATTGAATGCCATCTCTAGCACTAATTACAAATTTAATAGTCATAGAAGAAAAATGGTGCAAGAAGAATAAGAAATTGCAAAATTCCGGATATCAGAATCAGAAGGCACTAAGTAGATACATTGTTTTGTTTGTCCTGCTAAACATTTAAATTATCTTTAAAAATATCCTCCACAATTCTGTTTTGAGAAATTGCTGCTGTATATTTGATTAATATACAAACAATAATTTACTAAAAAATTTTTGTTCTTTTCACTTCTTTAAGGTTAGCGGAGCCTCAGGTACTGCTTGGATTAGAAAGTGATAATTGACACTAGACTCAAGAGGAAGAAGAAAAACATTTCACCAACAGTAGTGTGCAGCAGCTACTGTAATAGTCTCAGCTGTTGCTGATCTAATTGATTATAGTGCTATAACAGCAGTTCTGTGATGGATAGTTATGTTGTTCTGTTGGACTGTATTCTGCTCCCTTGCTACTTTTAAGCCTTCCCAAGTCTGGGTTTCCCTTTCCTTAAAAAGCAGTTTCTTTCAGTAGTTTCTTTTAAATCTGATAATTAATAATGAAAGAAAAACACACAGACTGTTGAGTTTCAGCAAAAGTTAAATCTTTGCAGAACACAGAAAAATAATGTTCTTTATTTAACTACAATAAAATACTCAGCTTTATGAAAATTTATCCTACTTTAAATGCCTTTAGTTACTAATATCCTACAACAGTAAAAGTTTAGTAGTTTTCATCAATAACCAACCTTTTAGGTCCAGATTTTGCTTTCAGGTACTGTCATCCATTTATGACACAAAGGTTGAACAGTGACATTTTCCCCATCAGAGTTGTATTTAGTTATCAAAGGCCAGTAGACAGTGTGTTTGTTGAGATATGGTACTAGGTGTAATTTTGACTGATAAGTGTTCATACTTATGAAAGCATCCTAAGGCTGTGTAATACATTGCATATTAACTAGTCAGATGTTCTTGTATGTTTTCTAAATTGGACTAGGTGTTTTCTTTAACATTACTAAAATGTCAATAATTTATTCATAACACTAGAAAAATACAGCGTATTTCTTTTGCTTTTGTACTCATCAGAGTCATGACCACCTACGGAACAAATGGGTTGTTAACTGCTTATTGTATTTTGAAAACTGGGTTCATACCTGAAGACCTCTCATTTAATCTACTTTCTGAAGGAGAAGAGCTAATGGCTGCCTCCACCAGTGAGTATTGTATTGCTACTAGGATAACAGTATTAAAAAATTTCATTCTCCGATGGCCTTTTACTATTAGGGGGTAGTAGAGTAGCTTGTTGAGTGTTACCTAGTGCCTTTTTCTTTTTTATTCTTGATACTTTCCTGTCTTTACTTCTGTCCTACCTTCTACTTTCACCCGCAGTCTTTTCCTTCTGCCTTTAAGAACACCTCATAAGGTGGAAATTTATTGCTAGGTATGCCACCTAGAAGTCGGAAGCTTAATTTTGAGTTTGAGAGTAAGCTCTTTTTCAGTAGGTTCAAAGCTAGGCAATAGCTAGGCTTTTCAGTGGTTAGGTTTTTTGAGAATTTCTAAATCTAGGTTTGTGCACAACAACATATTTGGAGGATTAATTATATAATAATCATAGAATAATTCAGAATAACCTTGGAAAAGACAGTCCCTTTCAGGTCTAGGAAGATTGACATGTGTAGAGAAATCCAGGGTGGATAAAGCTAGGATGAGCTTTGTTCCTGAGTCCCAAGAAGAAACAGTTTTCTTCAGTTTTGCTGGCTTTTGTACTAGAAGTAAATGAAAATAGATCCTCAGAATAGTCATAGAGTAATCTCTAAAACTTTAATTTCATGCTTGGTTTTTCTGGACATAGTGTATAAGCTTAGAAGCCTTTCAGTCCTATTTGGGGCATGTCCATCTTGACACAGTAGTAATGTATTATACTGAGGTAGGTGGCCAAGGGCAAGTTTTCAGAGAGTTCCATGTATCCTAGGCTAATGCATAGTATTCAACAAGAGGTTTTGTCTGTTTGATATGGTTCTCACTAAGGTTCCCAGGCTGGTCTATAATATTTGGGTTCAGGTACTCCCCCCACAGCAGCTAACACTGCAGGTATGTGTGCCATCCTACCACCTTGCAACTGAGAGCTATGAGGTTCCCCCTCAAGAGTTCAAAAGTGCTGAGTGGAAAGCATGAGTAACATTGATATGGTTTCAAGAGGGAGGAGGAGGTAGCTGAGTACAGATTTCTTAGAAGGATTACACACTTAAGTAACTACCCAGGCACAGCTATGCTTACTGACTAGGTAGATAAAGAGAGGAGATAGCCGATGCCTGGAAGCTAAGCCCATGAGAGCCTCAGTGGAGGAACAGTAAAAGGAGCCATGATTCCTCCTGCACCCAAGTACTAAGTAGGTAAAAAGCAAGGTAATGACCATAGAGAAGGGCAAACAGTTTTAAAAAGGCTAACTAACTAGCCCAAACAAAGTGTTTTAAATAAGATAATAAAATAGCTAGGTATTTATTTTAGTAGTATTGGGGATTGAACTCAGGGTCTTTGTACTGAGCTACATCCCCAGCCAATTTTATACTTCATATTTTTTTGAAACAGTGTCTTTCTAGATCACCAAATTCCCCAGTCTGGGCTTGAATTTGTGTTCTTTCTACCTCAGCCTCCCAGGATGCTGGGATTACAGATTTGTGACAACACGTATTGATTCTAAAGTAGTTCTTTAAATGACAAGAACTACCATTTAAAAATGAATAGCAGCTTATAACTGGAAAGAGTTCAGATTAGAAAATAAAGTTACTTTTCTTTTTCTACACCTTAGGTTGTGACTGGCCAATTTATACATATTCTGGAAAACTTCAGCTTATAATAGTTACTATACCAGTCTCCATAGATAGTAAAATCTCTGACTTATAAAACTTCCATTGCATGTAAGAAGGAAAAAATGGAAACAAAGCTTTTATATATAGGGGATGGGGGTCTTGAAGGGAGGGTAGGAAGATGGGAAAAAATAAAAATCAAGATATATTGGGCTGGGGATTTAGCTCAGTGGTTCCACTGCCTGCCTTGCAAGGACCCAAGTTCAATCCCCGGTTCAAAAAAAAAAAAAAAAGAGAGAGAGATCATGTAAATGTAAACATACTCCATGATGAATGTGATCATAAGGTATAACTAAATAAATATATGCAATATACATAGTTAAAATGTTTTTAAAATTTCCATTTCATGAATAATACTGTAATTTCTCTTTTTTCTGTAGTAGTGCTCTTGAAGGATAAATAATACGCTGTCATTCCTGTCTATTCTTGACCATATGAAGCAGCATAGGCAGTATGTAATACCCTCCTATAACTACATTTTTAAAAAATGAAGCCTGGTGTGGTTGCCCACACTTATAATCCCAGCTCCTCAGGAAGCTGAAGCAGGAGATTTGCAAATTCAAGGTCAATCGGTTCCACTTAGTGAGACCCTGTCTCAAAATGAAAAATGGAAGTTGCTGGGTATATGTTTCTGTTATGAAGTACTTGCCTAGGAGGTATGATGCCCTGGGTTTAATCCCCGTACTAGGGGAAAAAAGAAAAATCATGCCTTTTTTGCAGATGATCCAGACTTTCTGAATTTTAATATTAGATATACTAACATCTCCTAAAGTTTTTGTTTTACATAGAGGGGTCTGAGCTATTAACTGAATCCAAGAGATGGAGGAAGGGGAAGAGAGGAAGGGGTAAAAGAAGGAATTAAGGCACATTTATATACATGTGCTAACTCCCCACAGTGAATGTAGTTATTAGGTATTGAAAACATGTATTGATTAAAAAATGAAAAGTAAAGTTGGAAGTATAAATATGATGGGTGTGACATTTGAATAAGAGGCAGCGTTTGAAAATAAACAGTGGGGTGCACTGTCAGGGGTCTTGGTTTGGCAGTCAAGCAGGTAAGTCTCTGAACAGTCCTCAAGACTAGGGAAAAGCAGGAAGTCAGTTACATACCTTGTATATTGAGATGATCATGATTGAGTGTTTGAGCCAGTCTGGAAACTATAGAGCTATAGGGCAAGAAAGTCATTGGTAAGGAAATTGTAGTGATGTAGCAGTTAGAAATATTTCATACTAGTTCAAAAACTAATCCTTTTTGGATGTGATTGAGCAAGTCTGTAATCCCAGCAATCTGGAAGGGTGAGGCAAAAGGTTCATAAATTCATGTCAGTCTGAATGATTTAGTAACTTTAGACCCTGCCTCAAGACAAAAAGTGAAAAAAGGTTGAGCATGTAACTCAGTGTGGAGGCCCTGGGTTCAGTTGTCAGTACTGCAAAATAAAACAAAATTCAAAAACCAAAAAAAAAAGTAATACCAGAGTTGAGCAGACTAAAACTGCAGTTAGACACTGTTTGGATCACTGAAAGACTTCTGTGATATTAGGACTAAATCTTATTCCTGATATCAGCTTGTCTTCATACATTCTCATTCCAGCTACAGAGACATTCTTCATGTATTTCCTAGAACATCTAGGAAACTCCTCTCCAGAATTTAGTTTTGTTCTGTTTTCCTTGACTTCACTCCTCAAGTTTGAATATCCCCAAAAAGTTTTTCTCTACTCCTCATTGGTGTCCTTCACTTTTTTTTTTTTTTTTTTTTTTTTTTTTTTTTTTTACCAGGGTCGAACTCAGGCCTTTGCACTTGTGAAGCAGGCAATGGAACCACTGAGCCAAATCCCTGGCCCAGTCTCCTTTACTTTGTAAAATTTTGAACTGATACTATTTTATCCTTTGAGAAAACCTTCTAGTAATTAGATGGAGCAACAGAAACATTAAGTCTCTGTTATTAATCAAAATAGACTAAATTACACTGTAAAACAAACAAGATTTCAGTTATTCAACGCAACAGAAGTTTACTTCTCACCAAATCAATAGGCAGTGTATTTGAGCAATTCTCTTGGGTGGAGACTTCCATCTTGGTAATTTGGTGATTCAGGCTGCTTTGATTTTTATGCATCAGGATTGCTATGGCAAGTAGGAAGACAAATAGAGTGTCTCATTTTGGCAGTTAAGTGCTTTGATCTGGCCCAAATCCCCCTGGCCAGAAATAGCTACTTGGTCTTGCTTAACTGCTAGGAGAAATAAGAAAGTATAATTCTTCCATGGGTCAGAATGAATAGGGTACCAGGATAGTTAAATACCAAGTCATTAGCACACCTTGCTTAGGCAGTGAAAGGTTTGTGTGCTTATCATTTGTTTCTGAGAAACAGGAAATTGAAATGTTTTTTGTTACCTAAGTACTTTTTTCCTTCCCATCAGAAGCTCAGTTTATAAATTATTTTCTTCTAAAAAGCCAGTTATCATTTAGTGAATCCTAAGGGATCTCAGTGCCTAGAGATGATACATATTTTCATTTGACAGAATATGAGGGACTAAGACTAAAAAATAGAATTGCTCTGGACTGATATGGGGAGACCAGTTCAGCAAGTCTAAAGTTTTAAAATACGTGGGGTGTCTTCTGTGAAATTGGAGATGAATTAAAAATAACTACAGAATGAATAATAATTACCTTGCATGGCAAGGGCAAACTTTTTTCAGCAGAGTGCTTATTAAATGGACATATTTCTTAAAAGGCATTTGTTGTACTCAGAGTTTTGGCAAGGGGAATACTTTAAATACAGGACACATAATTTATAGGATTATTTTATGACAATTACCCACAAAGTCAAATACAAAGGGGGGGTGCAGGAGAGATTAACTGCACACTAGAGGTCCCAAGAATCCAGCCACCCAAGAGCCTGGGCTTCCAGCAAGGTCCCACACCAGTCCAGCTAAAGGCTTAGAGCCCAAGGCACTGTCCTCCATGAGTCCAGCCAGTGCCCCAGAGCCCACAGAAATGTCTCGTGCTTGACCATATTTAGGATCTGTGTCTGGAAGGCCTAAAGGCCAGTGGTGGAAGCCAGAAAACCTATCCCAGTGCGACGAAGGATTTGTGCCACCAAGCTGAGGGATCTACATTGGAACCAGGAAGTGATGCTCATAAGTGAAGATCAGAGTTCCCCTAAGAACAGCAGTCATTCCCTTGACAGTGAGGCCCCAAGCTCCTCTTCTAATGAAAACAGCGAAATTCACATCAGAAAAGCCATCTACAGCAAGCTTGTCCTAGAAAATCAACAGGCCCAGATCTTTCCTCCTAGTTCTCTTTTTATGGCCATTTACAACAGTCCTCAGGTAGATCCTCCATGCTCAGACAACGCTGATTCAGTTCAGATGGGCAGTACAATTAGTTAATCTCTCTCTTCCCCCTCCCCCTCCCCCCCCCACCGGAGATTGAACTCGGGTCCTTCTGCTTGCCAGGTAGGCAGCGGAACCATTGAACTAAATCCCTGGCTCATCTCATTTTTACTACAGAAGAAAATACTTTAATTCTGATGGGTGCTACATAATAAGATACTGTTCTTATTTCTTTATTTCTACTATATATACACTTAGTATCTATCATCTTTGCTTCCTTTAAAAGGTTCTTTAAAGTGATACCCTGGGAAGAAAACTCACCAATACATTTCATCTATGACTTTCGAGAGCTGAAATTTCCCAACACTAACCTCTGTTTCAGTTTCCTGCTGTTGCTTCTGCACTATTAGTTGGTGTCAGCAGGGAGTTAACAGCACTCAATTTAACCTTGCTATTTGTATTCTGTTTTGAATTTTTTCCCCTCATTTAACTTCTTTAGATGGATTCTTCATTTTAAAGATCATGCATGCACCATGGGGGTCTGTACAGTGGAAAGACTGTCCTGCAGATAAGCACACAATAAAAGCACATTTAAAGATAATGTGAAGCTACAATACTTAGCTTGAATTTTTCTGGGAACATAGAAGTATTACCTGTGAAAATGTTTGGAACAAGAGAAACACACATACTGTTTTCTGTAAAGATTATATATTTGTTTAAAAGATGTAAGACATATGAATAGGTTAATTGTAGGTCATATGTGTAGATAGTAGGGCCTGGGACTGATAAGCTTGCAGCTGGCCACGGACTAAAGCGCATCTCACCAGAAGCACTTCTTCCTCTGCGTTGAAATTATGAATCTCTTTTGACTTGAGACCACATCCAGTATCACTCAGAAGCCTTCCTTCTCTCAATACTCCTTCATAGTAGTAGTCCTCCCCTTTTTTGGCCCTTTGTCTTGCAAATACTGAGCTTTTTCTATCTAAAAGATCTTTTGCAGCAGGGGAAGAACAGGTTTATGAAGAGGGATGCCTAAACCTCAGATCTCCTTTCTCTTTCGCAGCCTCACATGGAAGCCATCTTCTCTGAGCACGTCTCCAATAAATGATTTACTACTGTCCTTTACCCTGCCTTTCCCAGAGTAGCTGCTGAGTAAAGCACCAGGTTGATGGAATGGGAAGGAAATAGGGAGATCTAGTAAAAACAGAAATACTAAGAATACTGTATTGTGAGATAAACCAGAAGGAAAGCCCAACTTCTCAGTTCCTCAGTTACCTGCATTTTCAAGCTGTGAACATATTTTGTTTTGTGTGACTCTTTTCTACTAGCAGATACCCTGAGTTTCACCTTCACCGACCTGGCATTCTGCTAGGTGCTAAGGACATTAAAGTGAAAATAACAACACCTTTGCTGGCATTGAGGAGGTCCCAGATTCTAGTCTGTATTGCGGGGAGCTATGCATTTCTGCTATCCCAAGCAGACAGAGTATTTCTCCAAAAATGGCTTGCTTTGGTGATTGGTGATTAGGAAGTATAGTAACCCAGGTATTGTGTAATACCAATAAACTTTAAAAAAAAAAGACAGATCCAGAAAAAAAGATAATTGCCTGATTTTGTCTTTGTTAGGTAAAAAGTGCTGAAAACCAGGACCAGACAAGAACCATACCTTAATTATGGGGAGGATCTGCCAGGCTGTCTTGGAACAAAGGAGAGAAAAGCAACATGGCAGGGACAAGGAACTTCTTTTATAGTAGCAGGGTGGAGTTAGCAGGAGCTGGGGTGGAGTTGAGTGAGGTAATATTAAAGGATTGGAGGAGCCTGTGACATCACTAGGAGGGGCTTGTTACATCACTAGTTGCTAGGAGGTAGCAAATATCAGGTTAGCTTTCTTGGTGGGAAGAGGGGCATGTTGGGAAGAAGAAAACTGCCCTTTGGTAGGAGAAGCCATGTTTTAACATGGCGTTATGGGAAGGAGGCTGCCATTCCATGTGGCAGCCATCTTAAGGTGCAGAGCATTATGGGAAGGAGGAGGCTGCTATTTTATGTAGCAGCCATCTTAAGGCAAGGGAAATCTGACAGTCTTGGTCTAGGACATTGAACATGCAGAGCTCATAATTTAATTATCACCTGTTAATATTAGCTCTAAGATCATTTCTGTACTTTTGGAATGAAACGTCAGTGATGAGCCAGTTACAAATCAGTATTTTCTTACTCAAGATGCCAGCCTGGTAACTATATAACCACACTATAAAGAGTTACTGGAACTTTGAAGATGGAATTACTGCCTGTAGAGATTAATAAATTAATTATTTTTGTCCATTTTTCGTTCTAATTTTAAATCTCCAGATTATATAAAGACCATTTGTATTTAGTATATTTATATACCTTAAAAACCACTCAAGAAATGGAGTTATATTTTTGTACAATAATGGGCAAAAACAAATCTACATTCTTATTTCTATTTGGATGTTACAGGATTAAAAAACTCGTATTGTAGTATAGTAAGAGGGTTAGCTTGTCCTTAAATCTCACTGACAAGCAATGGAAAAATGTGCAGTTGATTTAGAGGAATTTAATAGAAACTGTTCCTTTTGTTCTCCTGATGTATGTACCATTCTGCTGAAATCTACTTTTATCAGTTGACCCATGAGAATCAAACTCTGGAAAATTAATTTGTGCTAACCAAACTCACAGGAGATTTGTTTATAAACTAGTAATTCACAATGAGAATACTTCCTGATCCAAAAATGAAAAAAATTCATCGGATATTTCTTGAGTTCTCACCATTCAGCACAAGTACTTCAGTGAATATAAAGGTGAAAAACATTTAGTTCCCCCATCTTTAGTCAGTTTGTTTATTAGCTGGTGAGAGGTCTTGGAAAACATAGCATATGTTAGACTTCAATAAAGGTGTAATTGATATGTGATAGATAAACGTGTAGGGGAGTTCCCTTTTTTTCTGCTAGGTAGACTTTTTTGGTTAGGAAACCAAATTGAGCTTTAAGGAATGTGTTTTAAGGGCTATTTCTCTCAAACTATTACTAGATAATAAATTATGTTACCCTCCTTTTTTGTGTTTCTGTATTATTAATTGGTACCAGCTGTCTTTAATTAGGACATTTGCTTAGGGATATACTCTAGAGGCTCTCGAAAGTTTTTAAACTGTTAACATGTGGAGATCTATGATAACCTCACTCTCACTTCAATTGTTAATTGCACCTGCCTTTCAATTTTTGTACTGAAGTGTCACGGCTAACTTGTAGATTGAGTATATAGTGCATAAGGCACAAATTACAGAGTGCCTTTAAAAATTTCATATAGCCTAGAAATTGCAACATAATTTTAAAGATTTTAATTCAAAAGATTGTTTATATCAGACATTTGTATAAATTAAATATTTGTATCATGTATATCCTCTGTCACAGTGATGGCAAACCTTTTAGAGACCAAGTGTCCAAACTACAACCCAAAGCCCCACTTAGTTACCACAATTAAACCTGCATGCTGAGGTTTTAGTTTAGAAAAAAACAACTCCTACATTAGCATCTTTTTTCTTACAAGGAAAGTACAGTAGCAGAGCTTTCAATGATACAAATAGCTTTTTATTAAAAGATAAAAGCTTCTCATTTAGTGTGCTTTTGTGTGTTTTCCAATGCTTAGCTGCTGGGGCAATACTGGGGCAACTTACGACTTGGCTTGTGTGCCAACCAAGACAGCTCTGAGTGCCCACTGCGGCATGCATGCCACAAGTTTGCCACCCAAGTTTTTTATTTTCTTCCATTGATTAAATTTTAGAATGTACTGTCTACCAGTGTATGTGGGATGCTCGTCTTTTAAAACAAGATAAAGTGAACTGCTTTTGAAGGACTTTCTTACAGTCAGTTTATTTAATTTATGTAGATTTGTTCTGTGTTTCACCACACAGAGATAACCAAGTGTGCTTTTATGAATCACATGATTTATTGCCAGAGAATTTTTTTGCCTTTAGGTTTGAATATTTAAAGGGGAAGTGAATGATGTGAACACATCTCATAGATAGTAACTATATTTGAGGTATATTAGCCATATAGTTAGTTTGGAAATTATTAAAGTCTAGTTCAGTTAAGATGGAAGCAGTCCTCACTGGAAAGTAAAGTCTAAATATAAAGGTTGGGGTGTAGCTTTTTATGAGCAGTATTTAGAAGGACAATGGTCTGTCCAGCACAGTAGATGTCCATGATGACATATAAGGTTTATTCGTGCTAGAGGGTGTCGTAGGTGTTGGGGACAAGTTTTCAGAGCTAAGCTTGAATACTAACAGATTGTTGCCTTGTGACAGTGTGACAACCTGTCACAGCCTCAAAATGTCTGTCAGACCAGGTTTATATGTCCAGTGAAACATCATTTAGGTAGTGACTTAAGTGTTTGAAGTCATTGTTATTAATGTCAGTCTTGGGCATCTCTTAGATTTGGATGTTAGTCATACTTTTCTCTAATTGCTATCTTCACTCACACATACCATGCAGCTGGCTAGCCTTGGATCCCATGTTCCATCTGTGATCATGAATAGTTTAACATCCCACAAGAAAATCAAACCTGGGCCAGGGATTTAGCTTAGTAGTTCTGGCAACTGCTTCGCAAGTGCAAGGACCAGAGTTCGATCCCTGGTAACAAGAAAAAGGAAAAGGAAAAGGAAATCAAACCTGATTTTGCTGCTCCTGCACTATATGAAATCAGCAGAGCCACAGAATATTTATACCTGAAGTGTGTGATAAAATAATCCTATTTAGCAGACACACGGAATCAGAAATAACTATGTGTATGCTGCGTCCTACATTAAAGTATACTAAGTGACTTTGCCCACTATACTAGTAATTTTATGTAGTTACTAATAGTATTCATAATGACACTAATTGTGGTCAAATCATTTTCACAAATTAATATAATTTCTATCTTTAGGAGAGTAGAATCTGAAGGATTTGTAGAATCCTTCGTTTCAAAGCCAGTGGCAGAGCCAGAATGATTTGTTAGGATCTGGCTACTGTACAGAATATTGGAGGCATGATAAAAGTTGGTTTTTAGGGTCTGGCACTGAAAGTTGTAGAGCTCAGGCTCCAGAATCCAGTAGTTCTGTATGAATTTCACTTGTTCTTCTTATTGTTTGAGTGACCTCCAGAAAAGTACTTTAAACTTTGCAAGGTTTTTGAGATAACTAAATGATATAGATAAAATGCTTAACCCCGTATGTGAAATATATAGTAAGAACTCAATATTATTTGCTTTTTAATCTTAATGATACTTAGAATTTCAGGTTTTCAGCAGCTTTAAAATATATCTTTTAAGTGTATGTGTATTGTCAAATGAACTATTCATATTAAACTTCTAGTTTTTTCAAAGGGAGTTCTCTCCCAAAGGTTTATATACATATATAGTTGTTCTGCTTTCAACGAAAACATTTGTCAGTAACACAGATATGAACCACAACATAGGGTTTGCATGTAGTTTGTCCCTGCAACAATTAGATATATAACTAATTCACACTTATTTTTAATATCTTAAATGCAGTTACTCCTGTATTGTTTTCTTAATCTGTAATGTAAGGCCTGTAATTACAGTTGAGAGGTATTAAAAGCAGAACAGGAAACCACAGTTTTCTTAAAATAAGATGTACATCTTAAAAATTAGATGCACAATGTTTTTATATATGTCTAAAAGAAAATGTAGTCTGTAAGCAAATTATTCTCAAAGGTGAACATAAATAGTAGTGAAAATACCACAGTTTACTGTAAACGTATATATCAGCTTTCATTAGACTATACAGAAGTTTCATTGTAGAATTTTTTTCAAAGCTATGTGTGTCTCAACTGAGTAATCCTTCTGTGATGTGTATTATATACTAAAGCATACATGTGAAACTTAAGCTGTTTTGACCTCCCAAACTGTAATGGTTATGTGTTCTGTCTTGTTACACCCTTTCCTCTGTAGGGACCAGCAAGTCAAGGACCATGTTTCTTAGGATTATTACGAGAGCTGTTAGTGGTACATGTATATGTAAGTAAAACATTTACAGTAGCTCTCAACTTTTATTAGAAGATTGATTGCAAGTGAATTCACTTTTGTTTTTGAATTGTTATTTACTTTTCTTCTTTTAAAAGTATATTAAAACATTTAACATAAAAACTTATGAGGATAGAACAAAAAGCACAGATGTCACACTCAACTGGCTTGAAGTTCTGGAGACTATACTGAACAAAGGGTGATAGTTGATATTTTGACTTAAAATATTGTGTGGCAGACCTAAATTTTACTTAAGAAAAGATTAACATGGCATAGGAAAATGGATACATATTGAGGATACACTCCTAAGTGAAATAAATAAGTCACACATGTGTAAATACCGAATAGTTTCTCTGGTGTGAATAAACTGTAATAGTGCGTAAGATCCTAATGAGATAATTGACCATGTGAAATAGGAAGAAGAGGGCTAAAAGTGTAGGGAAAGTGGGAAGGGTAGGGGAAAGATAATAAGGGAAAGGAAACAAATAGGAGAAAATGAAGAAATAGAAATAAAATTTTGTAAATGGGGAGGGAAGGAGGGGGTGAAGGGAGAGTTAAGGACAAGGGGAAAAAATGAGAACCAAGATCTGTCATGTAAAGGTACAAGATCCCAATAATGAATGTAACTGTACTGTATACCTAAAATAAACCAGTAAACTCAATGAGGAGAAAAAAATTAAAAATTAAATGGATTTGAAGGGACAAAAGTAGGAATAATAGTTTGGGTGCTATTGCATCATTGTGGATGAGAACTGATGGTTTACATATGTACAGGGTATGAGAGATTCAGGATTTCAGGCAATATGTAGATAATGCTACTTTTTTTTTAAGGAGTGTAATAAGATACACTCAGATGTGGATATACTGAATTTAATATGTGTTAAATTGGGGCATCAAAGTGGCAGTTGGATGTATCGGTTAACAACCATAGAGGAAAGATCTGGAATGGAAATATAGATATGGAATTCCAGCAAATGATGGTAAGTATGGGGAAGAAGATGAACCAATATGTGTATGAAATAAGGAAGAAGTCAACTGGCTTTTTAGGTGAACAGAAGAAAAAAGGC